CTCCCAAAGCCGGGCAAACCACCCACATGCCCTCAGAATTTCCGCCCAATATCCATGCTTAACACTGACGTTAAGCTCTATGCAAAGATCTATGCACTGCGTCTAGGCAAAATGCTCACACAGGTTATACACTCAGATCAAGTGGGATTCATAAAAAACAGGCAGGGATGCGACAACACACGGAAGGTTCTGGACATTGTACACAGTGTCCGCAGAATGAAAGTGGGAGGGGTGTTAGTATCGTTAGACGCCGAAAAGGCCTTTGACCGACTGGGATGGAGGTTCCTTGAGCAGGTCCTCCTAAAGTTTGCAGTGCCAGAGGGTCTTATCTCAGCGGTCAGGGCTTTATATAATGCACCAACAGCAAGGGTCGTCAATGCAGGGTTCGTATCAGACCCCCTCAAAATCTCAAACGGATCCAGACAGGGATGCCCACTATCACCACTCCTGTACGTCATGGCCCTGGAGCCTTTGGCGGCGGCAATTAGGCAGCACTCCTCCATACATGGCGTAAAAATAGGGGATCGGGAATACAAGGCGAGTTTATTCGCAGACGACGTCCTCCTAACCCTGACACAACCCCACATATCCCTCCCCAACCTAATGGCCACCATTACGGAATATGGGAAACACTCCTATTACAAATTAAACGTCACAAAGACACAAGCCATGGGAATGGGGATACCAGGGGAATCACTCGACAGACTCAAAACCGCTTTCCCTTTTGACTGGCGAGTGGACCACCTAACTTACCTGGGCATCCGCATCCCACCCCGCACTGAAAAATTACTAGACCTCAATTATAACAAATTACTGAAGGAAACGCAAACCACCTTACGGACATGGGAGGGGAAATACCTGTCATGGGTGGGGAGAATCGCGGCGATAAAAATGATGACGCTCCCGAAACTCCAGTATCTCCTGAGAACTCTCCCCATAAAACTGCCAAACGCGTACCTGATCTCCTTTCAAAAAACACTAATCAGATTTATATGGGCCAACAAAAGACCAAGGGTGGCCACAAAAATACTACAAAAACCAATCATACATGGGGGCCTGGGTCTGCCAAACATTCGAGAATACTATAGGGCAACACAACTAACGGCAATCAAGGCAGCGACAGTGGAAGGAGAAGTGCCACAATGGACCCAAATAGAGGCCCATTGGACAAATAGCCCATCTCTAAGGGAGCTCTTGTTGCTCCCGAAAAAACCCTCGACCCCAACAGATACAACCCCTAATGACCACACAGCTAACACTATACTTCTGGGACGAAATCCGCAAGAGGGAAGGGAAGGAAGGAACACTCCTAGAGGACGCCCCAATATCGTGCATAGCAGCAGGGATCCCAACATTCGACACAAAAAAATGGAACGAGGCAGGCTGCACTAAGCTTAGACACTTATACCATGAAGGCAACCTGTTGCCATTCCCAGATCTTCAAACACGGCACGACATCCCCAACAAGGCGCTGTTCTCCTACCTACAACTGAAATCGCTGCTCACAGGGGTACAAATAAATAGCCAGGTGACACCCAACAAACACTCCATAGAACAATTTTGCCTAACCAACAAACCCCCTAAAAAAACGATCTCCACGATCTACAACATACTCACAGACGATGAGGCGCACCCAGACATGACATTCCAAACAGCTTGGCACAAGGAACTGGGACAAACCATAGACAAAGAGCAATGGCACAGAGCATTTACAATACACGTAGGTAATACACGCTGCACAACACATCTCGAAACAATAAGGAAACTGCATTACAGATGGTACATGGTACCTGAGCATTTGACCAGGATTTTCCCAAACTCTCCAAACACGTGCTGGAGATGCGGGATAACAGGAGGCTCTATGAGCCACATATGGTGGTCGTGCACGGAGATTAAAAAATTTTGGAAGGTAGTAGAGGAACTAGTGGGTGACCTGCTGGGCAGGCAGTGGCGACCCACCCTACAACAATGTATACTATTTATGTTACCACTTACAATGACCAAAACAGAGGAATCCCTTTTGTTCCACGTCCTGATATCAGCAGTAACCCTCATAGCTAGAGCATGGAAATCGCCACAAATTCCATCCAAGGAAACCCTAACACAACAAATAAACATAAATTGGCAATACGAAAAAATGGCACTCAAACACATTGGACCAAGAAAACACATAGACCTAGCCAATGCGAGGTGGGAAGAGTATAGGGGTAAGGGACAAAAAGAACAAACAGTGGGGCCGTGAGTGGGCACAAGGAGAGCACAGGAAAAGGCTAACCAACAAGGAACTAGGAGATGGGAAATCCTGGAAACCATACCATGTAACATGCAATAACATTAGAGCAGGTGACACCACAAAAGACCACGAGATCCCTTATGGGAAAGGGTAACATCCACTCACACAGCCGGCGCTGAAGCAGGCCACCTCACACCCAAGAGCCCAGAAACTAGAGCAGAACAACACGTAACAACACGTATAATGCATAATGTATGATGCACACTATATAATCTATGATGTACGACATGTAGTGTATGAAACACAATATGTAATGCATGATGTAACAAAGACAATGTGTAACTAATGATGTAACCGGAAGACATGGAACGTTTTGTGTTTTGTGTTTTTATTTGATCCATTCCTTTCCTTTCCCCCATACCCTTTTCTTTTCTGTACCCCATGTTTCATAACATGTAAAACAATAAAACTTTCAAATTGAAAAAAAACAAAACAAAAACAAATCAGTGACCAATATAGCCACCTTTCTTTGCAAGGACACTCAAAAGCCTGCCATCCATGGATTCTGTCAGTGTTTTGATCTGTTCACCATCAACATTGCGTGCAGCAGCAACCACAGCCTCCCAGACACTGTTCAGAGAGGTGTACTGTTTTCCCTCCTTGTAAATCTCACATTTGATGATGGACCACAGGTTCTCAATGGGGTTCAGATCAGGTGAACAAGGAGGCCATGTCATTAGATTTTCTTCTTTTATACCCTTTCTTGCCAGCCACGCTGTGGAGTACTTGGACGCGTGTGATGGAGCATTGTCCTGCATGAAAATCATGTTTTTCTTGAAGGATGCAGACTTCTTCCTGTACCACTGCTTGAAGAAGGTGTCTTCCAGGAACTGGCAGTAGGACTGGGAGTTGAGCTTGACTCCATCCTCAACCCGAAAAGGCCCCACAAGCTCATCTTTGATGATACCAGCCCAAACCAGTACTCCACCTCCACCTTGCTGGCGTCTGAGTCGGACTGGAGCTCTCTGCCCTTTACCAATCCAGCCACGGGCCCATCCATCTGGCCCATCAAGACTCACTCTCATTTCATCAGTCCATAAAACCTTAGAAAAATCAGTCTTGAGATATTTCTTGGCCCAGTCTTGACGTTTCAGCTTGTGTGTCTTGTTCAGTGGTGGTCGTCTTTCAGCCTTTCTTACCTTGGCCATGTCTCTGAGTATTGCACACCTTGTGCTTTTGGGCACTCCAGTGATGTTGCAGCTCTGAAATATGGCCAAACTGGTGGCAAGTGGCATCGTGGCAGCTGCACGCTTGACTTTTCTCAGTTCATGGGCAGTTATTTTGCGCCTTGGTTTTTCCACACGCTTCTTGCGACCCTGTTGACTATTTTGAATGAAACGCTTGATTGTTCGATGATCACGCTTCAGAAGCTTTGCAATTTTAAGAGTGCTGCATCCCTCTGCAAGATATCTCACTATTTTTGACTTTTCTGAGCCTGTCAAGTCCTTCTTTTGACCCATTTTGCCAAAGGAAAGGAAGTTGCCTAATAATTATGCACACCTGATATAGGGTGTTGATGTCATTAGACCACACCCCTTCTCATTACAGAGATGCACATCACCTAATATGCTTAATTGGTAGTAGGCTTTCGAGCCTATACAGCTTGGAGTAAGACAACATGCATAAAGAGGATGATGTGGTCAAAATACTCATTTGCCTAATAATTCTGCACTCCCTGTATAGGTATATATATAGTGATATATACGTATATATTTATGTATATAGAGATATATATATATAATCACAATACAGTTAGAACGAAATAACACATCTATATATTTTTTAATTATTTTTTTAAAATTTTTTATTTTATTTTTTACGTATTTACATATTTAATTTTTTTATATTATATATATATATAACAATAATTATATATATATTTAATCAGCATCAGTCTACGTGTAATTTGATATTAATATATATATATATATAAATAATTATATATATATTAATAGTAAAATACACCTAGACTGTGTATGTATATGTGTATATATATACTTAGATCATATATATATAATATCTAAGTATATATTATTATTTTTTTTATACTTTTTAATTTATTTGATTTTATTTTCAGCCAGCAGGGGGACCACCTGTCATTACAGGCAGCCCCCCCTGCTGGCAATGCTGCAGCCAGCTATCCCGGCCATGTGATTGTGAGGTCCTCACAAGGACCTCACTCTCACATGGCTGGGGGGGGGGGCTGCAGGAGGAAGATCTGCTGCGGGAGGGCTTACCCTTACCGGGTAAGTAAGGAAAGACCGGAGGGCGTACTATTACGCCCGGCGGCGTTTAGAGCCGCCTAAAATAGGGCGTAATAGTACGCCCTCCGGTCTTAAGGGGTTAAAAACACACACACTGCATAGCACAATGACTTATGGGGCTAGCATAGATTTTTTTTTTCCGGGCTGCTTTGTATTCCCAGTCTGGCCCTGAGGCTAAGCAATCCTGGCATAGCTGGAAATGGATGATTACATTCCCACACCTGGGGTAAGTGTGTATTTGGCCTAGGGACCCTGTACCAGCCATCTAGCGGCATCGATTTAGCTTGTTTTGCTGTGAAGAGCGTGTTGAATAATCTGTGGAACAGGTGTGGAATTTCAGCAGACTTTATGGCCTCAGGCAGTCCGTGCACTTTGATATTTTTCCAGTGCTTTTTATCTTCCAGGGCTGCCAAGCTTTCCTGGTTTTGTTTCACATTCGCCGGTCATGTCTCTTGTGCGGCAGTGTTAGGCTCGGTATTTTGCAGGCGAGCCGACACTCCTCTGATTTCTTCCCGGAACAAGCCAATGTCCGCTGCAATATTTCTGCGCAGCTCATCCAGTATATCCCTCAGTTTTTCGACCGTGACTGCAGGTTTAGCAGATAAGTGAGCGGGTCGGCTCAGTGCCCGAGCATCATAGGCACCCTCATCAGATAGTGAGACCTCTCTAAACGAGTGATATGGCTCTTCAATCAGCGACGCCATTGCGGCCCTCCAAGAGCTTGGAGGCCTCCGCAGGAGATCAGCGGTGGTAGGGGGGCTATCCGATTTATATTTTTTGTTTTGGTGCCCCATGCCTCCAGGAAGGTATTCCACAGCAATGTGAGTTGAAAAGCTCAAGGTTTCTTTGTTTTGTAGTGATTTTTTTCGAGTTCTGCTCGGAGCTCAATAAAGATGCATCCTCTCAGTATGATCATATTTTATTAAACACATAGAAACTGAAACATTGAGGAAAATATCCAGAGAATACTTGTATTTCATGGGGCAAATCGGAAAAGACCAAAGCGTTTATTAAACAGATTTGCAAAATTCAGGCAATTACATTGGAGTGTTAACAAAAGTAATTTTCATTATTCTGGTTTTAATTTAATCTAAATTTGTAATATGGATATCAAGAGCATTGGTTTGATCTAGAATGCAAATGACCATTCCAAAAAGAAATAAAATACATGTATCCATTAACCGAAAACTCTTGTAAGGCACCTATGGGGAGGTTAAGAAGCTGGAAAGCTTTCAATAGTTAAGGAATGGAGCTTTGATGCACTGGTGCCTATTTGGAAGGCCGAAGTTGTAAGAGGAGCGTGCATTGGATTGCTTTAAAGGTACGAGGGTTACCCTTGCGCACGCTATGTGGAGGGGAGAGGAGGGAGCGGGGATAAGCTTAGTTAGAGCCAGGTCAACATGAATAATAGAAACAATATAAAACTTTTACATTGGTACCTATATGGACCATGACAGCTGGGTCCCCTCAGCATAATCCATCTACTCTATCAGCAAAATACTGGACCCAAGCACCCAGGAGACAGCAACCTGTTTGATACAATCAGAGTGGCAGATTACCCAGCCTACTCTCTCATTATAAAGTCCCTTACCACTACTACCAGTCTAGCCTTTTTCAAATTCTCAGTCCCACCTGTATTAGCGATATTAGAAGGAACAGATTAATCCAGTACAGTTACTCTAGAATTGATGCTCCCAACATCTTTACTTAGCAAATCTGCTAAGCTACACCCAATCAGGACTTGCCAAACCTCTCACCTCACTACCACATGTAACAATCACCCAACTATGTACCTGTTCCCCTAGCTGTCTTATCTCCTCCCGTTTCACTAGATGCTCTCACTAACTGCTGCTCAAGATTATAAATCTGTCTCAATGTTACAATTTGCAATCTCCAGTCTACAGAAGCCACTCACTCACACATGACACTGATGTATGGACCCTGGAAGATTTTTTTTCCAGGCACTCATGTCCCTTAAAGAATAAAAATGTTGTTGTTGTTTTACTGCTCTCTAACCCCTTAAGGACTGGACTGTTTTTGCGATGTTGTACATTTGCGACAGGCCTCTTTTTACACTTTTGTGGTGTTTGTGTTTAGCTGTAATTTTCCGCTCACTCATTTACTGTTCCTATACAAATGATATATTGGTTTTTTTTCAGGACAAAAAAGGCTTTCTTTACATACCATTATTTATATAATTTCATGTAATTTAATTTAAAAAAATAATAAAATGATGAAAAATTGAAAAAAAAACATTTTTTTTACTTTTATTTGAAAAATCTTTTACTCATCTACAAAAGCGAATGGAAAAAAACTGCTAAATAGATTCAAAATTTTGTCCTGAGTTTTAAAATACCCAGTTTTTACATTCTTTTTGTTTGCAAGTCATAGGGCTACAAGTAGGATATTGCGGTTTCAAAACATACATTTTTTCAAATTTATCAATAGTGACATTGTAACACTATTATCTGTCATAAATCTCTAAACACCCCACATTTACATTTTTTTTTTTTTTTTTTGTAGACAACCCAGGGTATTCAATATGGGGTATGTCTTCTTTTTTAGTAGCCACCTAGTCGCAAACACTTGCCAAAGTTAGCGTTCATATTTGTTTGTGTGTGAAAAAAGTAAAAATCTAAATTGAACGCTAATTTTGGCCAGTGTTTGTGACTAAGTGGCTACTAAAAAAGACTGCACATGCCCCATTTGCAATACCTTAGGTTGTCTTCTTTTGCAAATTGTATGCCATCATGGGGGTAATTCTCATTCCTGGGCTACCATACGCTCTCAAAGGCAACGTAACCAACCTGGCCATTTTTAAGGTAAAAATATTTGAACCTGTAACTTTCAAAAACGCTATAAAATTTGTACATGGGGGGTACTGTTATACTCAGGAGACTTTGCTAAACACAAATATTAGAGTTTCAAAACAGGAAAATGTATCACAACAATTATATCATCAGTAAAAGTGCTGTTTGTGTGTGAAAAATTAAAAAAAAAGTCACTTTCACTGACAATATCACTGTGATATGTTTTACTGTTTTGAATCACTAATATTTGTGTTCAGCGAAGTCTCCCGAGTAAAATGGTACCCCCCCCCCCCCATGTACAGGTTTTAGGGTGTCATAGAAAGTTACCAGGGTAAAATACAGTGCTAGCAAATTAAATTCCCTGGACTTACGGCCTGGGTTGGCAGGCGGGTCCTTCAAATTGCAATCAATAAAATTACTTAATTAGGTAAGAATATTACATAAATACGCATGTAAGATTTAAATATATATGCATATTTATATATTTGAAGTCTACGTGTATATTTATATAATTATTTATGTAATTTTGGACATATGTATATTTTGTATTATTTTTTATATATATATAGATATATATACAATTTAATTCTAAGTGTATTTTGATGTAAATATATATATTGTAATATCAAAATACAGTTAGAATAAAATTTAAAAATAATAAAAATTTGTTTACATTTTTAATTTATATTTTATTATATATATATATATATATATATATAGTTATATATACACACACACGTGTGTAATTTAATTATAAGTGTATTTTTATATTAATATAAGTACAGTGGGACCTCTGTTTACGAATTTAATGCGTTCTCCGGGACGTTTCATATTGCGAAAAATTCATAAACTGAAACAAGGTTTCCCATAGGAATGCATTGAAAATCAATTAATGCGTTCCGGAGGTGAGAAAAAAAGTCAAAGTATTTTATCTGTTCAAAACTCTTTATAAAGTGCACTTTAAAGGCATAAATACTGTACAGGGACATGATTAATCAAGCAAAAACATTTCAAACATCCAACTTTATGTTTTAAAACATCACACATCAACTTTTAAAACATGGCAGACTGTTGTAACATGGTACAGTACACTTCAACTGTACATAAATCACACGTCAACAGGGAAAACATGGAAAATTTCAAAACAATTTTAACACTTTTTGGAAGACGAGGAGGGCGAGGGCAATTGGGCAGCACTAACACAAGCAGGTTCTTCTTCATGTCTAGGCTGTTTTTGTAGGAACCTTTCCATTGTCTGCTGCATGATGTCTGTGTCAAAACTGCTCACAAGTCCGTGGGCTAGAGCCTTATCTGTGTGGTGCTGCTGTACAAAAGTCTGTAGGTTTACCCACATTTGGCATGCCTCCTTGAGTTCCGTGGAAGAGAGCTGTTCCTCACTCATTAACTCCTCCTCCTCAAATGCGGTCTGCCCCTCCATCGCCTCCTTCTGCAATTCCACCAGCTCCTCGGTGGTTAGGTCACGGTCGTGTTCCTCCACCAGCTCATAGACATCCTCCTCAGTCACCTGCAGGCCCATGGTCCTCCCCAAGGAAACAATTTCCTCCAACACTGTTGACTCTGCAGGTGCAGAAGCACTGGAGGCAGTTTTCACAACACAGTCTGGCCACAGGTTGCGCCAAGACGAATTTAGGTTTGTCTGCCTGACCCCGGCCCAGGCAATGGTGATAATCTGAAACACAAAATAACACAAAACAGAAAAAGGGTGCGCCTCAGAACAAATAATAGTCCAAATGACTTATCATAAATCCAGAATGATGCAATCCACGCTTATAGAGAGGACTCTTGAAATACAATAGGATGGAAAAGGTCTTCACGGGTATGTACTTGAAATTCGGTGAAGCATATGGGGAGAGAGAACACAAAAACAGGACTCCAATGGTACAGTATGTAGGCAGAATAAAATAGTGGCAATCAGTACTACTCACAATCTCCAGAGCTAATATCCAGCTCTGGTTTTGGGTGTGTGAAGTGGAATGATCCCCACTCAAGGATATGTGAAGTGGTGCTGGTTAACAGGTGTATAGGATTATTCAGTGGTCCAATATTGGTACGATCCAGCCAAAAATAAAAAGAGTAAAATATAGTGCTCACTGTGTCTTTTTAGATAAAAGGATATAAAATATATGAAGTGTACTCACAATATGTAGAGCAGGCTATACTGCTCGATGTAAGCGTAAGGGTGGTATAATCCCCACCTACAGATTCTTTGTGCTTCTTAAATAAGTGGTGAATATCAATGTAGCCAGGTAAAGACGTATAAAATAAAAGTAATAGAAAAGGAATATGGCAATCAAAGAAATTTGTGCCAAAATAATTCCTTTATTTAAATAAAGAAAAAACAATAGACGCGTTTCGCCTGAAAAGGCTTCTTCAAGTAGATAATAAAAAGAACATAACCTGACATACATGAGTTTATATAGGGTGCATTGGTACTCTTGAAATTTGAATTTTCCCGCCATAATGACATCATAATCTTATTAACATAATACATATATAAAATAGACCTTGCAATATTGCAGAATATAGAGACATATAATAGTAAGTAGTTACAGCCACTTTGATTGAAAAACGAAGCTTAGAACATATAATATAAAAAAGTAAAAACGAATCACGTGACAAGCGGCTAAAATACTTCCGCGTCACGTGATGTCAAGTGGAACGCATGCGTCCCGTACCAGTGGGCCGCATGTGGAAAATGACAAAGTCTGGGGCATCTATATTGCGTGAGGGGGAAGGGCTAAGTAAAGAAAATCGTCATCTTCTAAAAAGGAGTGACGAAAACATGCTTTCATGCTGTCTGACTGCATAAGCAGGTAGACAGCATAGAGGCAACAGACTAACATAAGACCACAGGTTCAAAACCCAGAAGAGGCATATCAGAGAGATAGTCAGAATATAAGATATAAAGTACAAAACATATTAATAAATTATACATTTATAGTAGCTAGTAATATAAAGAAGTATATATTAAAACAATAAATTGTTTAGTGAACATATGCCTATATACAAGAATATGTGTATTTAAAAAGTGTATACACCTCAATAATATGAGAGATACTATACAATATATTTATAAAACATATGTATAAGAATAATAAAGATAAATATAAAAAATCCACTTGTATATTGGGCTAAAACACTTACTTGATTATACAAAACATAAAAACACTGTATTAAAAAGATATAAATTAAAATATTTGGAAAAAAAAGGCATAGAGAATATAGATATATATAGAAAAAATATTTTTTATAAAAAGTTAAAAAGATCAAAGTCTATGTTAAGACCTCTTGGGGCAAGGGTTTTCAAATTGTAAGCCCATTCCATTTCTTTTTTGCCCAAAACTTTCTTAATATCTCCACCTCTCCATGGAACACTACAAATATCTATGCCAATGCATTTAAGATGTTTAGGATTTTTTCCATGCTGTAAAAAATGCTTAGACACTGAATGATATTCATAGCCTTTTAAGCTATTCCGACAATGTTCGGCCAGTCTGGTTTTTAAATCTCTAGTAGTCATACCTACATATTGTAACCCACACAAACACTCCAATAAATAAATTACATTTCTTGTGTTACAATGAATGAAATGTTTTATCTGATACATTTTCTGTGTGGATGATTTAAAAGAAATGATTTCTGATTTTATAGTGTCACTAGTACATTTACAGACTATGCACCTATTACATTTAAAAAAAAACGCTGGGTTTAGTTAAAAAAGTAGAAAGGCTAGGAGAAGGGGTACTGTATTTTTGCTTAGTGTAATTGCTTGTGAGGATAGACTTAAAGCTGGGTGCCCCTCTAAATATAACATAGGTTTATCAGGGATAATTACAGCTAGAGTCTCATCCTGTTTTAGTATATGCCAGTGTTTCTTTACGATCTTCTTCATAACATTACTTTTTTTATTGAAGTCAAAAATAAATCGGCAAAGATGGAGCACTTTATGTCTTTTTTTACTTTGTATTCTAATAATTCTAATATTTTTTAACGTTTGATCTAAATCACTCGAGGTAATTTTTTTGGGAGAATTTTTTAAATAGCAACTGAGATTGTTCTTCAAAATCTTGAGTGTGAGAACAGTTTCTACGAAGAAACTGACTCTTAGATATGCCATGGAGCCAAGGTTTATAATGGCAGCTGGACACATCAATGACATTAGTCGTACACACTTCTTTGAAAAAAAGTTTTTGTGTTTATTTTATCATTCTTGATAAAAATTTCTAAATCTAAAAAATGGATAAGAGATTTACTGTACTCCCGAGTTAAAACAATACCTCTATCATTACAATTTAAATACTGTAAGAACTGATGAAGAGAATTCTCACTACCCTCCCAGATAAAAAACAGGTCCTCTATGTACCTAAAATATGTGACCAAGCTTGCCTGCCAGTCATGCTCCCCCAGAATGGCAGTGGATTCCCATTCTGCCATAAAAAGGTTAGCATAACTGGAGGCAAACCTGGTCCCCATAGCGCTTCCTTGTTTTTGTAGATAAAAAGAATCTAAAAACCAAAAATAGTTATTATTTAAAATTATTTTTATGCCCTGAATTATAAAATCTATTTGTTGATCTGTAATTTTATTTTCGGCCCTTAAAATGTTATCAACTGCTGAGCACCCTTTATCATGAGGAATGATTGTGTACAAAGATTGTACATCGCATGTAACTAATAAATGTGTTTTTCCAAACAAAATTATTTAGAAACCAAAGTAAGGTCATTGAGTCTTTTAAGTACGATTTCATACACTTCACTGAGGGCTGTAAAAGAATATCTAAATATTCGGATAAATTAGATAAAATGGAGTTAATCCCTGACACAATGGGCCTACCAGGAGGGTTTGTGACATTTTTATGGATTTTAGGTAAAAAATAAATAACAGGAATTTTAGGGTGGGAAACATTTAAAAATTTGAATTCTTGTTTACTTAAAATATTCTGATCGCGACCACTAATTAAAAAAAAGTTAAAACCTGTTGAATTTTTAAAGTGGGGTCTTGTGTTAGTTTTTCATAAACGTTAGTGTCACTGAGTTGTCTCATGGCCTCTCCAACATACATATCTTTAGATAGTATTACTATACCTCCCCCTTTGTCAGCTGGTTTAATGACAATATTTTCGTCTCTTTGCAATTGTTGTAATGCTTCACGTTTTAGATGTGTGAGATTATTATGATCGAATTTATTTTTGTGAATTTTCTCTAAATCTTTTGTAACTAACTTCTCAAAGACTTCTAAAGGACCTGATTTAAAACTAGAAGGGAAGAATGTGGAATTTTTCTTAAGCGAGGTTGAGATTATTTTGAGATATCCAAGTGGTGGGGTAGCCAAAGGCTGTGAGGTAGATATTTCTGTGTTTTTGGAAGCAAAAAATCTTTTGAGAGTAGCTTTCCTGACAAATTTATTTACATCTATAAATGCCTTAAATGGTTTAAAAGGGTTCGTAAGAGCAAATTTAAGCCCTTTACTTAAGACTGATATTTGTATAGATGTCAGGGCCTTTTGGGATAGGTTGAAGATGCCAAGTTCATTCTCTTTTATAGGAGTTATTGTCGTTCTAGTCTCTTTTGGACTCTTCTGCCACTTATCCTTCCTTTAAACTTCGTTTTCTGGTTTTTCATAGGGTGTGGTGTTTGTATGTGTGCATTGGTTTTGGTGCAAAGTTCTAAAAAATAGTCATCATCCGTTTCACAATCTACAGATAACAGTTGCTATCTTATTGTGAACATAATTAACAGGTGATTTAGTGCCTTCCAAGTGTCTATGTGCATATCTCAGTCTTTGAGTTTTAGTTATTGCTCCTCTCTCATTTTGATACATCCCAGGGGAATAAGGTGCATTTCCAGTGTAATTGGAAAATTTTTGTGTTGTTGGAAGTGAGTTCCGATATGATAAGTCATTTGGACTATTATTTGTTCTGAGGCGCACCCTTTTTCTGTTTTGTGTTTCATCTATTGTTAGGGGATTAGAGGGGACTCCCCTTTTTCCTTGAGGTGTGCAGCCGTGTACTGTGTATAATATTTATTTTCTGTGGCAGCCTAGCCCTGACTCTTCCCTTTGATTTCTCTTAATGGTGATAATCTGCAGACAGCTCACAATGTCAAAATGCTCTCTCCAAAATTCACAGAGGCTGAGGCTTGAGCGATCTGTCATCTCAAAGCATCGCCGGAAAAGCTCCCTTGTGTAGAGTTTTTTAAAATTGGAGATGACCTGCTGGTCCATTGGCTGGAGTAGTGGGGTGGTGTTAGGCGGAAGGAACATGACCTTGATGAAATTGTCCATAAGTATGCAAAAAAAAAAATGCTTTACACTCACATGAGCTGGCATGGAAACCACAGTAAAAGGCATGCACAGCACATGAGCTGGCATGGAAAACAACCCCACATTGCAAAACACAGTACAGTAACATGCATGCACAGCACGAGCTGGCATGGAAAGCAAACCCACAGTAACAGGCATGCACAGCACATGAGCTGTAACAGGCATGCACAGCACATGAGCTGGCATGGAAAACAACCCCATATTGCAAAACACACAGTAAAAGGCATGCAAACAACTAAGCTCAGCTCCCTACCTTTCCACCTCTTGAGATGCACCAAAAAGGCTCCACAACTTGCTGCAAATGGCTCCTCAACTTGCTGCAAATGGCTCCAAAACCTCTCCAACACCTCCACCCTTCAGTGCTACCCAGACTCCAGTATGCAGGGGGCAGAGCTATAAACCGGGACACTTGTTTCGTATTGCGAAAAAAAATTCATAAACCGAGGCTTTTTTTTACGATTTCTCATTCGTAAACCGAATTTTTCGTTTACCGATGCGTTCGTTAACCAAGGTTCCACTGTACATATTAATATATATACTTAGCATGACATATTATATATATATATATATATATATATATACACACACACACAATTATTTTTTTATTAACATTAACATTTATTTTTTGTTTTATTTTACACTAGCAGGGAGACTGCCTGTCAGCACAGACAGTCCCCCTGCAGGCAGACACATGGACACTTATTGTGACCATGTGTCCACTCCGTTGAGCGATCACATGGCCGCAGGGTCCTAATCCGCCATGGGGAGAATGTCTGGGCTGCAGGCAGTCTCCCCACACCGAGAGCACCACCGACCAGGGGAACGTTGGCGATCCGGTCAGTACATAAGACCGTTAGGACGGTTCAGGACTGTCAGCAATGCAAAAATGCTGATGACATTCCTGAACTGTCCTAGGTCGTTAACGGGTTAAAACATCTGGTTTTGAACTATTTAAATTTGGCCTACTTTAAAGGAAAGCTAAAGTCACCCAGTCCTCTTATTCTCAAGGATATGTTCTGGCTGCAGTATCCCTGTTCTCTTAACCCTGCGTTTTTTTTTTGTTTTTTTTTTTAGAAACTACACACTGTTTACATAGCAGAGTTAATAAAGTCCTCCTCTAGTAGCGGTCAGTATGACAGCAACTAAAGGCACTTCTGCAGCACTGACCTTGTAAAACCCCATCACGTGATGAGGAAGACCCATAGCAAAGCACAGATTCAATGCTTGTCTATGAGAAAGTTTAAATACGTGCACGGCCCTCGTAGGCTATGCCACCTCGTTGATGTTGCCGGGGGACAAGAGCTATGCAGCGCCAAAAGAGCCTCTGCACTGGCAAAAAGTAAACAGGGGTTTGTGACCGTTTATATACAAAACAGCGTTAAGCATAAACATTTATATTTCTGAATGTTAGTGTTCTTTTAAGCAACTCCAAGTGAGCACATTCGATGAATTAGGTATGGAAGGATGCAGCTATACAAAAATCACTCCCTCAATTAATTCAATAGTTGCACACCAAAAAAAAGCAGGTTTACTGAAAAATACCAATCTTGGTCAACAGTTTTGTAATTCTCCACAAAAACTCATGTTCAGAGTTCAGAAATTTGCTGATTAAGAATAGGAAAAAAACAGCTACATAGATACCACAACAGTAAGAACACAAGTCAAAAATATATATATTTTTAATGCAAATGCACACCAAACACTCAAGAAAATGACACTACTGCATTAGACAGTTTGGAAGATATCATTTACATAGGTTTCATTATAGTGCAGTCTGCTTAATTGGATGTTATAAATTAAGTATATTGATGTATTTATTTCACCATCAGCCCACATATTCACCAGCTATTTGTATCAAATACCTAAACACAAATAAGTCACCCTTTGCTACACTTTTCCATATAATTTGAGCAGTAGAAACACACCAAAGAAAACCTGTAGGAACAGTTGTTGCTTTATCACCTATAAATTCATACCTTTATGAATCTCACTACTATGCAAGGTTTCTTAACCCTTTATGGACCAAATGTTGCTGCACCCATCCATTCATGTAAATTATTCAACACCTTTAGAACCTCCATGCAGTTTTGTTTTTAACTATATTGGAATTGTATTCGATTTTGACATAGGATCTTTAAAGAACAGGTTGTTTGGGCAACATTTGTAATTAAAGAATTAACATTGGTCTTCAGGTACTTATTTCCATTCTGCTGGTGTTGAGAAGATGCAACCTGTATCAAGCAAATGAGATCTGGGAAATCTGGTATAAAGTGGTACTTTTAGGACGTAGATTAACAAAGTCCATTATAATATTTACATTGTATAAACATGAGAGACAGGCATCTGGGACATTCTAAATCTTTGACATAACTGAAAAAAATCTTGACATTAGCACAATATAAGACAAAACAAAAGGAGACCTAACCAAATATAAAGTTATGTTACCATCCATTTCACAGAGATATTTAAAAAGATCATATATAGAACGTATTCAAATTTGCAATTATGCATTTAAAGTAAATTCACAGCAGCATCCATTAGTCTTTTATTAGTGATTTACTCGTAATCCATTCAAACCATCACCCAGTCAATATCCTTCATTCAAACTCCAGACTCTGAATTCAATGCCTAGATTAATAAAGCATTGATTTTTGCAATTTAAAGTAAGATCCAATCACCAGCAGAGGTTTGTTGGAAATTTCTTCAAATTCAAAACAGTAAATTATATTTAGCAGTTTTCTAAATCAATTGATGTTTTTTCTAAAGTTTCATAAGCCACTATTGCAATAATATAATACATGCTGAAGAGGAGGTTAGGCGGAAAACTCTTAAAGTGTCCTCCCACTTTGAAAATAAAGTTCTTTAAACAAAGTAAGTTTCCTACAGGACTGAATCCCAGACCACCACTCTTTAAAAACCCTATTTGAAAATGGAATGTACCACTTACTTTGCAACCGCAAGCCTTACAGAGTTGCCGATGCAAAGTAGGACATTCTTTGGTGGCACAGATTCTCTAGGGAACAGATTGAGGAGTGCAATAGGCTTACATGTTTCCAGCTGATCAGGTTGAAGGGACTCCGGTTTCTCAGAAACACTTGCTTTTTAAATATAAATCAGCAGAGGTAACCTACATATATATATGAAAAAAAAAAAAAAAAAAAAAAAAAAAAAAAAAAAAAAAAAAAAAAAAAAAAAAAAAAAAAAAATAATCAGGAGTGAGAAAAAGCTTCAAGGCAAAGAAAAAAAATGCCATGCAGCTTTTTTTCACTTTTATTTTTCCAAGAATAAAAATAAAATTTGCTTCCATAAACAAAAACAAAAAAATCAGCATTACTTTTAATAAGTTTTCTGCTTTAAAATATACGATTTACCATTACTGTTAGAATTGTCTAATCTTTTTTCTCTCTGTTGGAATTTAGTAACATTTTGGAGGGAGAATCATTAGCTATCAAGTCCGTTTCTGTCCCATTAGCTTCCAGTGCGTGTGCCTGGTTGTTGATTTCCATGGTGAGAGTCACCTCAAGAGTTTCTTCCAGTATCTCATTGCTAGAACTTGTACTTCTGTCATTCATTTCAACAGCTTCAAAGTCTGCCTCATTCCAATGTCTGGCTTCCTCCTCCTCTTCCTCTTCCTCCTCAAGACCAGAGCTTGAAAGCAATGCTTTACGGTCTTCGCTGTCCACTTCATTCCATCTGGTCTGGTCTCGTGGAGAAGTGGCTA